GACCGAATGCCACTGTCAACGAGTACTGAGCGAGCCGTAGGAGAGTTCAAAGTCAAATGGGTCGGATACGATGAACCAACTTGGGAACCATCATCCAACCTGTCGTGTGGAGGCTTGTTGTATGACTACCTGCCGGCCAAGAAGAGTGAACGCCGGCTACAGACGGTTCAAGTCGCTGACGAGGATTAGCTTGCTTGAACACGCATGGACTGTTCACAGGGAGGTGCAGCCTATGATAGCAGACGAAAAGAATTACTGCACCAACAACTTGTATAGCATATGATGATTTATGCGAACGTGAATACGATTTGGAAAATGGATTAAAGAAAGAAGACATGAAAGCGTGTGAAACTTTGACTACTAAGAGAGAATGATCGGGAGTGCCCGCATGATATCGGCATTGAGCAACCGAAGGTGAAGAGACAAGCACCGAGTATTCAATCAGCCGAGAGTCGCCGAGCAACTTCAGCAAGTACGCCCAAAGACATGTCACCGCCGCTCTCCTTCTCTTCTCCATCAGGAGGAGATGCCGGTGGAGGAGCGGGAGTACTTGAATCATCGCCACCGCTGCCTATTGTCGACACAGCCGCAGTTGAATCCCCAGACACTGCTCCCGTGAGATAGCGATCTTGCCAGTCCGGGATCAGCTCGGGAGGTTGCAAGCACGGGTTGGCAATGATCGCCCTAGCGGTTTGATTAGCCATCGCAGCATCAACACCGCGGGGGCAGAAGATCCGAGCCTCGCGATTGCATGGCACGTAGGTGGTGTTGTACGGGTGATCGAACGGTCGGTACACCCAGTTTGCACACCACGGCTGTCGATCCACCAGCGCATTAACTTCCGCGAGTCAGTCGGTGGTCTTGGGAACGAACGGCAAGTTCTTCACCGGATACCAAGAAACACAAAGGCTCGATGATCATCTCTGGACAGATGAGTGAGCGTTGAGAGGTCGATGCGGACTCCAGACTCCACTTCAAATACTGCAGTTGGTACATGTTCCGGAGGCGGTCTGCCCGAGCACTCCGTCCATCCATCAGGACTCGAAATCTGGCCGTCTTGGTCTTGATGAGATCCTTGTCGCAGTTGGGTTCCGCTCCTTCAGCCGCAAACCCCTTTTCAACAGCGGCGGCGAGGATCCAAAATCGACGCTCCCAAAGTGCGAAGCCGAGATCTGGCATGGGGCCATCACCACGAAAACTCGCCCATAGGCGACGAATACGGGTCTCCAGTGGAGCTCGCTTGGAAACCGGGGCAAGAGGGTCAAACCCTTCCATGCTGAAGAAGAATGG